ACTTCTCTTAAACAGCTGCCACTCGGTTTCAACATCAGTTGCCATCACCGGGATCTGTTCAAATCGTTGTGCGATGTTGTTTGCAAATTTCGCTCTCGTGTCCACCAAAAATAATGTTTCCCATTTGATTCTCCGGTTGCTTCTACCACCAGATCTTTGTGTCGTACTGCATTTCTTACGGTGCAGGGTGCCAACAACAAGGTGGTGATAGATTTATAGCCTTGTGTCTCTTTTAACGCGAACATACATTACCGAGCGTCTTAAGTCATACGATACGATTATCAAATCGATCATCGACTTTTGTGCGCAAGCTTCACTGTACCAGATATAGTGATGAACTCTTCGATGCTCGAGGAAGGTGTTCATGATGGACAGTTCATTGTTTTGCGCAAAACCGTGACAACTTCATGCTGTTATTGCCGAGGTCGCTATGTCCGTTTTTTTCCATTTCCGCCGTTCCACTTTTCAGCATTTTCTCCGACGTACGGATTAAATTCACCCATGAATATGAGGGACTCTCCATTCGGCACTTGGGACAGAGCACACTGCACTTCCTCAAGGAAGGTATCATTCTCCCTTTAAATTAGGCGCATAGGTTTGTATCAAGAACAGTTCTTTAGCCTGTTTTTAGCTTCAGTCAGAGGATTACCACCCTTCCGCTTTGTTGACGAGAGTCCATCAATGTCGAGTTGGTTCTCTATGGCTGTGTCCCTTTGAGTGAGGATATATTCCAATTTCCGACTTTTAGCTCGCACTGGTGGTGTTGTTCTCGTGGGTCCTTTTCTGTCGTGCTATGATGGCATCCCGCTGTCTGCATCCTCCCTTCAGAACGAGTAGCGTATCCGTTGCTGACTTGTGCCTTCGTCGTCATTCCGTCGGTCTTCGTCCTCTGTTGTTGTGTTCCTACCCCCACCCCGGGCTGGCAAGTGGCGCTGAGCAGGTTCTGGTCGCTGAGTTTTTGCAGTCTGCCTCAGTTCCTTCAACAACCTGTGCGGCCCTTGGTAGCCCGGTCGACGACCGAACCGGCATATTTTTCATTGGGGTTCATATCATGAGTGACAGATGGCGAACTTTAACGGCGTAATGGCCCTGGTCTCCAACCCTCCTGTTTTCTCATCTGGGCTTGGGGCCGGCAACGGCGGAGCTTTACCTTTTGTGAATGTTCTTTTTCAGTATAATTATCGTGGCTTCTTCGCCTTTTTCGTTTTTGGAAACGTGCAACATTTCAGTAGGTGTTTAAAGACCTTCGTGTATCTTCCGCTCGGTTTTTCACAGTTTTGTGGAATATATGCTACTGGAGTCCGGAAATACTTCACTGTTGACTTCTTTCATATGGCATCAAACACCTTTCAATTGCCTTTCATAAAAACGGATATCATGATAATTTAAAATCCTGTTCTAGTTCATCCGCAGTTGGGTCTAGTCCTGTGCTTTTATTGTGATAGTCCACTTACCACTACGTATATCTTTTGTGTTTCTGAAGTAATATGGTCTTATCGTATATTTCTCTTGTGGGTGGGGACATCTTAGAATCCATTTTATACGAAATGTTTGATCTCATCCTCGCTCGCATGCAAATCGACAATGTGGTTTAATCCATTAAATGTGTGGATTTTGAATGCATTTTTATTAGGAAAACATTTAGAGGTCTTAAAATAGAAATTTATCGTAAAGGTCTTTACTAGGGCGCTTTAGCAAAGTTATAAGGTGAAATAGCTTATGTAAAAATCACTGCTCATCTCTATTAACTCGAACAGCATATGTATCAGCTCGGCCACTTTGTATTACATTTCTGAGGCATGGGTATTACATTATCTGGGGCAATTAGTTACAAAGTTTGTCGATTTAACACCTGCGGCTGCTATTGTTTGTATATGTTATGAACTATAACGTTGGATACGGCTGATGGATTTTCTCCGTTTCAGAGTTTTACTTGAGGCTATCCGGTTTTATTTGGCTCTAACGTCGGCAGTTTCAATGCACGGTTTAGTAGCTGTCTTTTCGTTTATGTCTGTAACCACTGAATTGACGATTTAATATAGTTTGAACTCTCCAGATCACTAGTTATCATGATTGGAACAAATAAGGCTATGTAATACAGAGCAAATAGTGCATTCATCATAAGATGTACCTTATGCCCCCTCCCCATTTGAAGATATTGCGAACTTTCTAATTATATGTTCGTTATTCAGTAATATACCTTTTGAAGCTTATAATTTTTAGTAATATTCATTTTTCTAGGCGTTTCTTCTTTTTCTACGACTTTCGCAGACCTGCATTCCGTCGACTCTTTGACAGAGATAAGACAGAATACCGTTTCGAATCTGAAGGCATCCGGCTTAAAACCGCTTTATCTTGATGTGCAGGCAACAACTCCAATGGTACCGTTTCTCGTGCTCTGAATTTTGTTTTTTTGTTGTTGAATGAATGGCATTTTATAGGATCCACGTGTGTTGGATGCAATGCTGCCTTTTTCGATCCATCAGTACGGAAACCCTCATAGTCGGACCCACGCCTACGGCTGGGAAACTGAAGCAGCGGTAGAAAATGCCCGAAAGGTATCGATGATGAAAGACAAAAGTGCACTGATTTGAAGCCATCATCTTAAAATCCTGCTTATCAACAAAAATAAAGAAAATAAAATGCCTAAATTAAATCACAATTTAAGTAGCTACGTAGCGATAATTGTCGTAGCTGGTCTGTTGAATAGAATTCATATGATATATTTCATCTGTCTCTTCATTAGTAACATTTTCATTAATTTGCACGTCTGTGGTTGCTGAAAATCTCTTCATTCCTTGCTGCATAATACTCCTGCTTTATGTCAGATAGCTATGGTTGCCAAAATCGTTAAAGAACAAACTACTCTATGAATGCTTGCGTTTCTCAGCCTTGCTTATTCTCGCTGCATGCTGGTCTGTTAGTCAACATTCAACATCTGCACTGTTTCTACTCTTACATGAGAAGAACGCAAGCCGGAGTGAAGCCTTATGCTCAGCCGTATTGCCATACAAGTCCAGTTTTCTTTTCTTGCTTTCAAGGTAGTAGGTTACATGTTTTTCTGAGAGAGAGGGAGGGAGAGAGAGAAAGCGAAAGAGAATAGCCATTACACGAGGGTTTTGTTTTGACTCTTGCACTATTCTGTGCTATTCAGCCGACGTCTTTCGTTTGAACAACGGTCTCAGTATCATATAACAGCACTTACCTGACCAGAACTGAAGCGTGAAACAGTTTTTATGAAAAGCGATAGTGCATTTTAAGTTCAGGTATGGGACAGGATGTCGAAACAGCATAATGAAAGAAGACCTTTCCATTTTATTCATATTTAACGGTGCCTTCAATTCAGAGGATGGAATAGAAGTACCAAAATGTACTGTTTTCGCTCCTTCTCGTTATTCCTCCATTAAATATTAATAATATTTATTTACGCCGTGGTAATCTTTGTTTTTTTTCACAAGAATTAGTTTATGTTTTCAAGCACTGATAGGACATTTATTCTTAATACAATGTAGGAACAGGACCTCTAAATAATGCAGTGCGTTGAAGTTGACTTTGAGAACGATAAATAATACAGTACAAGTACAGTGACAGTCTAATTAATTTATGAAAGTATGTTCATCGATCTCTTCACGAATGATATACGATTCTAGAAATTTGTTCGTTTCGCAGCTTATCTCTGATAAAAATTTATATGATTCTTGTTTCCATAGCACGTTGCTGCACTCTTAACAGGGGTCAGTATCTTTTTTCGTTATTGCCCTAACCATTTCACCATATATGACAGATGCCCTACCTCCTTTTCACATATTGTAGTTCTCACCGTAATTGATAGTTTTCTGTTTTCAAGAATGTCACCATTTCTTCAGTATATAATCCACGCTACACGATGCTCTCGTTAGTTTTTGGCCAAAGCAGAAGTCTGAAAACATATTCTCATTGATTTATTTTGTTTGGTAA